CTCATAATTCACAAAACAAAATTCAATAAATATAAACAATAACATAGGTACATGGTTATTTTATAATAATTGGCGGTGAAATGTCCAAACATAACTGCAGCGATTTTGAGAAGAAACAAAATTGACATAAAATTTTTGCAATTATTATAAAGGATTGCAAAAGTATTGAGTATTATTCTCATAAGCGCAGAAAGGTTATATTAAAAATGGGTAAATCAATCTTCTAGAATTGAGATCATGGAAGATCGTACCTCTATTCTGACCTCATTTCGGATTTTGTCCTCTTTCCCACGAAATTCCGCAAAAATATACAATGTTTCTAAGGAGTTGGGATCTTTAAATGTTTGTTAAACACCAGCTGTTCCAAAGATGACAAACTAAACGACTGTTGGCTCTATAAAAGTGACTTATCTTTTGCAAATAGGCTTTTATAAAGCGCTTTTACACGTCCCAGGATCACTTAAAACCCTACCTCTGCAATCGGGACAACAAATAGTATAATCTATCGTGTATTAGATAGAGAAATAAACTAGTAAAATTGTAACAGGGTATTCGATCCGGGCACGTTGACATCACTTATCGCGCATCTAGGTCGACGAGAGAGCCATCTGCTCAAGCCGTGCGTTTTAATAGCATATAGTTTGCATGCCAGCGATGTTACTGGCTATAGTAAAAATTAATTGGATAGGTAGTTAAAAGCAGTGAAAAATTTCATGAAACAATCTCTAGAGTTTGATCTTTCAGACAAACAAATATTAATCGAAATTGGTTAACTCTATAAAGTCATACGAAGACGATCGACGCATAAAGTTAGAAAAATTAAAATTGCGAATGCATTCGAATGCGAATCATTGATAATCATCAACAAACTTAGTACCTATAAGTGTTGGAACTGATTTTATGACCATGCAAATTCCAAAATACTTTAACTTTAATATATTTTTAGAATTTGCTACCTAATTATCATTATTCCTTATCCAACAAAACGTTTAGCGAATAGCAAACTGCAATACACAGACGATACGGTATTTTCCATCATACATAATGTTCCATTTAGATCGATATGAATATTCGATTTCGGCACCGTTTCCGATCGATTGATCATATTCAAGGACAGGAAGTCTCCTCAACGGTTGTTGCTGCCAACATAATAAATACAAAACAAAAGCTGTGTTATAATAACTAGATCTAACTGGTAATAAAAAAAACCCTGATAGACAACAGAGCAAGAAAGAAAGAAAAAAAATCCAGTTAGTAAAAAAAATGTGACACAAGAAGAAAAGAAAGAAAAACCGAAATATGAAACAAGCTATCTAAAATCCTATAATTATAACTCACCAGGAAAAGTAGATAAATCATTGAAAATCCTACTGACCAGAGAGTAAAAAATATGGGACTTTCCCAAGACCCTCATCTACTAAGATCAAAAAGTTTTGAGTCATCTCGCACATACAACCTTCTTGCTTTGAACTTGGAACTCGCGTGTTTTGAAAGTAAGAGGTGTTTGCTTTGCATGACGTTAGTAACAAAAAAGTTGCAACTTTTTTCTTTAAAGCTTGCGTTAGCCAGTATTTTACCGTGACAATTTTTTTTTATGTTTACTTTGTGACACAAAACAAAAGATTATGAGGTTCTTAGTTTAAATCAAATTGACAAATAAACTAGCGGAATCGCCAGCCAGTTTTTTATTTTTGTTTACATTGCATGACTCTTTTTACAGAAACAACAATCAGATCGTTCAACCATGACTTCAGCGTTTTCTACCTAATTTCCATTGCAAATGACTTGGATTGATGGTGTGTGGCCTCATAATCAGCTGGCTGATGATTTGTAATGACAAAGGCAATGGACTCGACCAGTTTTTTGTTATCATTGATAACGTTGTTAACTTGATTTACGGTACATGACCCGACTGGCTCGTGCTATGTTGTGATTTGATTTTTTGTTTTTCTTTTTATTAACTTGGTTCTTTATTTTTGTCTGTTATTTTCAGATTAAACTGCAGTTCAGCGCAATCTGATTAATACCTATCTAATGCTTTGTTCAATCCGTTAAAAATATCTTAAAATAATATTATGTATCAGCATTGATTCTTTTGTAAGAGTAGGTACAGATAGATAACAAGAATGCAAAAATACTGGGTTACCAGTTACATTTTTGATACATTTTGAGCTTTTTCCACAGCTTTTACGATTATCATGTCAGAACCTACAGGTACCTACACAGATTAAAAACCCGTTGTTATAACTCAACTGGCCATGAAAAAAACGCACGTCATTTTCTTTTTTCCAATCAGCAACTTTTTCAGCCAGCAGTTTACATAGTCCATTACGAATGTTTTTCAACTTTTTAACGCACTTGAGATTACCTAAAATTGCTAGCAACATTTGTGGCATGCAATCATGCGAGCCGTTGCGACCTTATTGGCAACACGCGAGTGAATTTCTACACTACCCTAGATTAAGTTGGATTAGTATTGCTGTAATGTGAATTGTAAGGGCATAAAATTAATGTACAACTACGTACACAATTTTACAAGGTTTTGTTGTGAATATTATGCAGTTTAGTGCCACGCAAAAGTGTAATGTCTGGTAAACGCGGTTTAAGTCGAATAGAGACGGTTTAATTAACGAATACTCTACAGCATGAAATCTATCTTTTCCAATACACCAGTTGATTCAAGTCTGCAATTACCTAATGAATAAACCTTTTTATGACGAAGATTTTTTAATTGATGTAGGTACGAGTGTCACATCTGGGAATCAAACCCAAGAATTCCGCATATGATGTAGGTAGAGAGACCACACCTAGCTATCATCTCACTAAACCAACCACGTAAGTCACTCGTGTATAATACCTGCTGAAAAGCAAGTATTTTCAACGTAAAAAGGTAAGAAATTACTTCATAAAATTCCTTTCATTTACAAAATGATAACTACCTAGAATTGCGTATTCATAATATTTTATTTGCGCTAACTGTTGAGCAGTCACGACGCGATAACAGTAACCTTATTGTAGGAATATTATCTAAAACATACATTGTACAGTTAAATCTATTTTAAGGCCAGTGTTTAGGTTTGAACACCGCGGGATAATAACTGTTATTCAGTTTCATTGCTGAACATTTTTAAAATGTAAGCTGAATCTGTTGTATGTGAAGCGTTATGGAAGAAATTCCTTCGCTGTAATCAAGTGTAACAGAAAAAAAGATGTGAGCAGGCTTGCCAACTGTTAGAAAATTACTGTCACCTGGATTCACTTCAGTTTGCGCGCCATATTTTTACAGATTAAAAATAAAACAAAATATTTTTTATCGCTTTACTCCTTTTTACTCAGAAGTAGGATAAAATGAGTACTTAGTGAGTTTTTCGATAATTATTAATTAGGTATTAATGAAAAAGCATAATTTGTTGTATTACCTATATTAATTAGGTACTTACTTAAGTAAAGAGTGGTGATTGGGAAATACCAGTAAATATAATTTAATAAAAATACCTTTATAATAATTTCCTACTCATTATAAATTATAATGTACCTACCTAATTATCTGAAAAACTTCCTTCCGTACCAGTAATTTGTTGATTTATTGAATAAAAATTATAATATCGTAATCGTATTCAATTGGCCTTTGTATTGTAGGCCGCAGTTATTTCCAATCGATCAAATCGTTTGATCTATAGATCGAAAACTGCTTGTTTGTTTTCATTATTCTTTCGACTCTTCATAGTAATTATGCTAAAGTATCGACAAAAAACTTGGCCAAGCACCTCTAGCGTTACAAATCCGTAATTAATTTCAATTACTTAATGACCACTTTGTGGGCAGTGAACTAATCACGCGTTAACATAATCGCTTGTTAGAAAGCGAGAGCTAGTACCTAGTTAACTTTGAGTTACCGTACTCTCGGTTAATCATGTACCATTTAAAATCCAATGTAACAAACGGTATAAAGTGTATCTCTTGAGAAAATTAACGTAATTCACTCGATAATCAGTGTAACTGATTCCCACCTGAGGAATTTTTACGAGCAAAATACATTTTTCGATAAATTTAGCATTATTAGTGAAAAGAACAAGAAAATCAGTGATAGTTTGTTGTTTATACGTTTCAATGAATAATGAGCTTTGACTGTATGTTTTAATGTGTAATATTTTAGGTACATCTGTAGTACCGATAGTGACTACATTTGTAGTTTAAGGACAATAAGGAAACTATATTTTTACGATTGTAAAATACTAGAAAGCAAGGAATCATAACTATTCGGAAAAGTGTAGTAGCGGTTTGGGGTTAATTGTTTTGTAGCAAGGATAATAAGTTATTTAATAAATTAATTATTTGAATACTGTCGGAATTCAACCGAACAAAAAACAAGACTAAAATATTACTATTGCACTAATGAATTCATACACCGAATACCAAAATTAAGTATTGGTATTGTTAATTAAGGACAAAGATTGGGTTTTCCTAGACCGATCAATAACATTTTTACTGCCATTAATTACTTTTCCCACTCAATTTAAGAACTGTATTATAACGAACTCAAAAGACGTTTCGACCAATCTATTAGTCACTCAATGATCCGTCCACGTACAATTTTAATTAATAATAAATGACGCATAGCATTTATTGTTATTGTGAGCCCGTTTGTCTGTATGTACGTAAATAGAGGTACCAGCGGCAACAGGAAACCTTATGCAAAACTAAAATGAGTGACATCATCATATCCTCCATAACGAGCGGGAGCATGCAAATCAATTCGCCATATTTAATACCAACATACGCATACGAACTGTCAAATGGTAATTTGGCGCGAAAAGTTCCGCAACTTTTTTAATTTGTTTTGAAGCTAATGCATTCATAAATCGAATACATTTACATAGTTCTTATAATCATGAACTAGTTCAAAACAAAAATAACATTTGAACGGCATAATAATACCTGAGGATAATATTTAGCTGTTTGTTTTTGAGGAAAAATGCGACAATAATAACAAAACTAACCTCGTCCTCCTCGTCGTCGTTGTAATACGGGTCTAACAGCATATTCTTCCAGAATATCACGTCAGAGGTCACCGCATACGCGTCGTGGTCCCTCATGTTCGCGTACAAGGGGCTCTCCCGGCCCGCACCATCGGAGCTGGCACTCATGGACACACTCTCCACCTCGATACTGCCTCCGCACGAGCAGCCTTCGTCTGTGTAACTGTATCCATACTCGATTTCTTCGTAAATGTTTTCGTCGGTGATCGCGTCGCGGACCGGCTCGTAGCCGTCGTCGAGCGGCTTGTGGCGCGTCATAGCGACTGACTCCGGCTCCGTGACACACCTGCCCGGGTCTCCCACCTCGTGCAACGCGTACACCGAGTACCTATTCGGCAACAGCTCGCCGGCCGTATGGAAAGACAATCGAGATATTGTCGCGTGGTGCTGCGCTAACACCCGCTGCAGTATTTCGTCTGACTTGTGGAAACCACTCGACTGGTACCACATCGCTGCGTATGCATCCTTCCCATCGTTCTCGGCGTCTGTGCTGCATTCTTTATAACTCCAACAAGTGCTTGTCGATTCACTATCAGACACAGGCTCAGTCTTCACTTCTACGTTGTCGTATATCGACGACGAACTAGAAGGCGACTTTAAACGACCTCTCCTTGGAGGGATCGGAGGAACTTTCTCTGGCACTTCGACCTTCGCCGCAATAGGCGTACTGGTCACGAACGACACATCAGATAGAGTCGATTCACCATCACTACATTCTTCCACACCGTTAACTAAATCTTTCACTGTTTCTGTTTTCACAACACACTTTTCTTTCGTATCACTCATACCTTCTAGGCACTCGTCGAATATGTTGAGAATGCTGAGAGACACTTCCTTTTCTTCGGGGGCGAGGTTTTTTTGGTATTCGTCTAGCTTGAAGATCTCCTTGCCCAGCTGAGAAAGTATTTCGTCGAATGCACTGTCGGGGGACGCGCTTGTTTTGTCGGAGTCTTCGGATTCTGGCGAGGGAGATCTGACAGTGATCAGTGGGTCGTACTCCTCGGTGAAGTCTCTAATAGCGCCCAGCCACGCGATCACAGGCTGAGCGGAACGGTCCTCGCGCAGTGTGGCCGCCACGGCCGTCGGAATCCAACTTGTCACTTCACACATTATGCCGTACTCGCTCAAAACCCGATAACCGGTGTGTGATTCACTGGATTCCGCGAAGGGACCGCGTTTGTTGATGCGACCATCGTAAGCCGCGCCGATCTAAAACTCATTAGAGCACTGCGCTCGCTCTCAGTTTCATATCAGCGACATTTGCACTCGGCCGCGATTGCTTATCGGTGTCTTATAAAACACGAGCACATCTCCGTTGCTAACCTTTTTGTTTAAAAAATAAAACTGACACGGAAATACTGGCCGGAAAGTAATAAAAATTTCGAATAAAAATTCTCGCGCGCGTTTGACGTGTGTTCGCGCGCTTTTCCTCCGATTTTAAAAATGGAGGAGCGTCCGCCCGCGGGCCGTCCGCCGCGATAGTGTTGCGCCGAGCAATTAATTCGATGCGTTCCTCCGGAGTCTGTGCAGTGCGAGTTTGTGACCGATATTCGTCGTTATTTCTGTGAGCGCGCGTGGCGTAACCGAACTAAAAGCAATGGCAATGCACAGTGCATTAGATAAATGAGCGGATCGGGCATCAGTGAATNAGAAAGCTTAAGAATAACGAATAAAATAAAAATAAATGTTGAGCTCCATACAAAAAAAAAGGAAATTGTCAATAACTTTTTAAATAATAACTTTATCAAGAAACGTTACATGACATAAAATATTCCTTTTTGGTAAAGGAACACATTGGCATATTTATTTTTTCAAAATTAGGCACTTGATTTTTGAGCGACGCTAAGTCTATGAAGCTCTAATATCAGCCCACCGTGCGCCGGCCCGTCAATATTAGCTTTATCCCGCCGCCTATTTGCTTTCATTCATGGGGCGTCCACAACATAATTTAATAATGGAATTTCTCAGCAGAGTTATGCGTATTTAATAATACAAAGCATTTAATTTATAGCTCTACCAACAGCAAAATTATGTTTAATCCTGTTTGGTAGCGCCACATAAGAGTGCGTCATCCCATTGATAAGCATTCGCAGCCACGTGATATAGCGAAGGTCATTGTCCTGTTTTAATTCATTTATTTTAAAAAATCCAGAATTAGCTATATTTATATTTACTTAACTTTTAAAAGGGGAAAAATAAACACTATGTAGCCTGCATAATATTTTTCATCACCTACAAGCTTTGTCTGTATTAGGTACACTTCAAACACTTCAAAATGTGTAAGTAGGTACAATTTCTGATTAATTAAGTACATAGATATAGTACTTAGTCATACAGATACTTATGTGTTACGTATCAAAGTTAGCATACCGAGGGCAGTGCCATCTTCCCAGATGCGGTAATAAGTCAAATAAAAGATAAGAATAACACACAGTATTCTTTCTGTATGGCTGGTACCTAAATCGAATAATCATAATGTTCAAACTTTAAGTCATAAAAAGACTCGTATGTATTTGAAATAATGTGATAGCATTTAACAGCCAGAGAAATAAAGACACAAGCTACCTCTTTGTTACCAGCAGTTCATAAATTACAGACAAAGGTGGTTTGCCATGTTCATTTATTTTAGTATTTTTGTTTAGACGTTTTGGCATTTTATAAACTTCTTTTTCCAGAAGCTTAGGTAATGAAAATTTATAAAGTTATTTTGTAAGTTATTGACATATTTTTACTGAAAAAATGTTATAAGAAGGTAAGTACCTAAATATATTTAATTACAAAAAATAATTAATTTCGTTATCATTAAAAATAAACGTTGTAGACAGCTATAATTTTGCCAATTAACAAATTAACGTACCTAGTTCATTTTGTAACAAGGAACTAGCTCATAGAATAGAACTACAAAGGCATCACTATTTTTAAAAAGTTTCTAATTCGGCGTGCAAGCAATGGCCGAAAACGCACACTGGCAGTTCATAAACTATTTTTATTTTTATGTTACTTTTATTGCAAGCTATACTGCTTTATAATAAAGTTTAAAATGATCTGGCAAATGTGTGAGGATGCGTTTTGTGTTGGTCAATAGGGCCTGTTCATAGCTTTTCGCATATGCAGTTGGTTAATGAAGTTAGAGATGTGCTAAATATAGTACACAGTACATAGCTTCCGTTACAGCACAGAATAAGTACTAGTACTAGCGTTTGGTGCGGCTTTTGTTCCGCGACTTTCGTACGCGTGAAAATTGATTGAATATTATTCCCGCTTTTACAATATTTTTCATTGATGCTCCTTTAGGTAATATTCTTCGATAAATGGGCTATACCACACAACAATATTTTTCATATCGAACCAGTAGTTCCTGAGATTAGCGAGTTCAACCAAAGAACCAAAAAATAATTTCAGCTTTACAAAACATTTGAATTTGAATTTAAATTAGTAAGTAAATAAATTGAATCACGTCACAGAGCTGATAGTTTGGGTAACTTTCTATAACAATTATCCAAATAAGTATTTATTTATGATAATGATAATCTACTTAATTATGGAACACAAAGAGTCATTTAATGAGTATATTTTAATGACAATATTAATATGTAACTATTTATAAACAGTGCCAGTCAACGTCGTCTCAAGAAATAATGAAATATTGTTCTAAAAGAAATAATTAAATTCGAAGTATCTGCACGAATAACAATATTGAGTAGAGATGAAACGGATAGTTGTTTGGCCGGATACCGGATACCGGATATCCGGCCAGTTGCTAGGCCGGATAGCCGGATATCCGGCGGCCGGATAGTTGGCCCATTGTCTCGTTGCATGTCGTGACGAGTTTAGCGCCGCACAGGTGCTTCGAACGCGATCAGTGGGTCTATTAGTAGACTAGACTAGTCACACTTTTCGAAAATCGAATCCGTCCGAATAGAATGTCAGATTTTGCCACTTGTCTAGGGGGCACATCAATTCGGGCGATTTCAGTTGCCATCGTGAGTGTGTGATTGAATAGCGAAAATTAAATTAGTTTACTTGCTGCGTAATTTGACTGAACTGCATCATTTTCATCAGACCATCAGTGAAAAAAGATCGCCTATTTTATTTGGCAATATTTCGACATTAACAGATATATAGGGTGTTAGGTAAATGGGTATATGAGCCGACACTAGCCCATGTTAACATGGTCATATAAATGGTATGGTGAAGTCAGAAAATTGATATCTTCATTTTAATTATTTTATTTTTCATACAAATCGGATTTTATAAAATTTACTTTGTATGAAAATTAAAAAAAATCAAATGATGATATCAAATTTCTGACTTCACCATACCATTTATATGCCCATGTTAACATGGGCTAGTGTCGGCTCATATACCCATTTATCTAACGCCCTCTATACTACATATTTATGTACTAGCTTTCAGTCCGCGGCTTCGCCCGCGTGGAATTTTATCTGTCACAGAAAAACTTTATCGCGCTCGTCCTTGTTTCAAAAACCGGGATAAAAACTATCCTATGTCCTTTCCCGGGACTCAAACTATCTCTGTGCCAAATTTCATCAAAATCAGTTCAGTGGTTTAGGCGTGAAAGCGAGACAGAAAGACAGACAGAGTTACTTTCGCATTTATAAGATTAGTATAGATTTGTCATTAGAGTGAGCTCAGAAAAAGAAATTAGTTTTTTGAAAGGCTTTTTTGTAACTTTTTGGATTTTAGATAAAAGCCGTCATTATTATAAGCCAGTTTATTGATATTTACCTCAAAGATTAATGTATTTCATTTTATGAATAGGAAATTGTCGTAGTTTTTTAATATCCGGTATCCGGCTGGATAGTGAGTTACTATCCGGTATCCGGCCGTATAGTAAATTTAGGCCGGATATCCGGCCTACCGGATAGTTACCGGATATCCGTTTCATCTCTAATATTGAGGTTAAAATAAAATAAGTAAACTATTTAAGTTTAAATTAATTTACATCACTCATAAAAGTAAAATTTAATTAAACTTAATAAAAATATGCGAAAGTAGAAATTTGACGATTTAAATTAGTTCAAATGCAGCAGGTACAAGTTAATAAAAATGACATTAATTTATTACATTATAATTTTATTGTTAGTTCATCAAGATTAAGTACAAAATGTTTGGTTATATTATACCTAAATATGTAGTTACTTGATTGGGGAAAGGATAGTTAAATTGTACCTAAATAATTACAAGAATGTGGTTGGTTTCAAAACTACTGTAACAAAATATCTGTCACCTACAGGGTGGGCCAAGTTTACGCTTTTGCTTCATTTGGTAAAAAAAAAACGCAATAAGCACGATGTTGTTTCATGAAGCGATGACAATAATACATACAGTTAAATATATAAATAGAAACTCCTCCTTTTTTGGACTCAGTTAAAAATTTACGAAATTATGCACAGTTTCGCATCACCCTACCTCGAATCGTTTTCGAGAAAGCAAGCGTTGTTATTTGAAAACATTTTTGGCCCAGCCTGTATTTGATTTATTTATTTTTACGAGACGGGAGGCAAATGATGTAGGTATGTATTTATAACTGGCAATGAATAAGTAATAGTTAAATTAAAATTATCCATGATGATAACATTAAATACAGTAGGACCCGTGAGACTTTTCCTTTGCTATAGTTGTCAGCACATCAACTTACACAAAATGTCTCCCTAATGGAAATTGGACTCTATTTCTATACTTAGTAATAAAGTTCAAATTCGACTGAGGTTTGACTTTTAGTAGTAAGCTGTTGTGCTGTGGTTGTACAGTCAGCGTCCAGTTCGTGACACCCAGCGTGGTCAAAAAGTTGTCAACACAACCTTATTCCAATCTAATCTAAATCTAATTTTATTTATTATATAAAAGGAGAAACTGACTGACTGACTGACAGATCAACGCACAGCCTAAACGGCTAAACGTAGGCACTTGAAATTTGGAAGGGACGTAGCTTAGGTACCGTAGAGGTGCACTAAGAAAGGAATTCCCGAAATTCCCACGGGAACGGGAATTAGCGGGAAAAACGGGATTCACGCGTACGAAGTCGCGGGCGGCCGCTTGTTGTAACATAGACGTGTTGCGAACTTTTCGGCTACTTTAGGTGTCACCAACTATTAGAAGCTGACTGTACAAGTGACGAACAGAACAGCCGGCCGGTCCCCAATTCAGGCAATTTACAGAGCAATGAACACTAATTACGTGAATGTGCCTCAATTAATGTGGCTCGGTCATACGGCCATGACAGTTCAAAAAACGGACGACTATTTTTACTGTCGGTGCCATCTTATCGAAACGTAAATAATAAAGGCAACTGTTAGTTACTGATCTATCACAAAACAGCTAAAACCACTGAACGGATTGCGCTGAAAGGCACGTATAATAATATATATTGATTACCTACTATGTCCTAGATATCTACTAAATAAGTATTATTCACCCCATAAAAGGACGAAACGGGGTTAAAAGTTTTAAAAAAATGTGTTATATCTTCACATATTACCTAATATTACAATCTGGCAGATGAAGACAGCAG